CGTTCCAGTCACAGTATTGTGCCTTTTTTTGTTATTCATAACAACCATCTTTCTATGTAGTAGTATGTCGCTGATGTTAGCTATGGTCTGTATACCACGTACATGTACTTGTAGTAAATAGATATTATATTATTATTATTATTATTATTATTATTATTATTATTATTATTATTATTATTAATCTAAATCCTCTTCCTCAAGTAGTAAGGTGTGATAAAAATGTCTTGAGTCTCTCCTAAAACATCTTCGTTCTCCCACTTAACATGTGTAAAGAAAACGTGGTAAATAATATATGGCTAACTAAGGAAATCTAAGTTCCTCCCTCACTTTATGTATCTGTTGATTTTATTAAGTACATTTATTTAGGCACAGATACACATAAGTGCAATTATAATACATAGTAACATATGTGTAAATCACCCAGGATAACCCAAAAAAGTCAAACAAAGTGACTTATTTCCATTGTGGTCCTTGTAATATCTTATTATTTAAAGCCTAGCTGTACGTACACTATTTTGTGCGCTCGCTCGCCTGTTCGTGGTTTCAGGGGTCGAATCCTAGCTCTTGGCCCCGCTTCCCGACTTGCCGCTTGCTAGATTTACTCCCTCGTAGCCTTATGGTCTTTATCGTACCTGCTCTTAAAGCTATGTATGGAGTCTGCCTCAACCACTTCTTCATGGCAGTCATTCCACTTCCCGACCACTCTTGAGACTGAAGAAATGCTTCCTGACATCCCTGTGGGTCATTTATGACTTTAACTTCCATTTGTGCCCTCCTAGGTAATTCACACATGTCTTCACACATGTCTCGATGTATGATAATTGTACCTTATATTTACCTGTGCCTAAATAAACTTAAATCCCAGTTCACACCTTGCAAGTTGGAGTGTTTTGTGGTCACTGGTAATTTTGGTAATTTTTACAAATGTAATCGACTCTCAAGTATTGATTACATTTCTGTGTTCTATATATCAATGACTCGGCTAAAGGGCGAGCGTTTGAAGCAGTGTTGGAGGAGGCAGTGGTGAAGAAGGCAGTGTTGGAGGAAACAGTGGCAGTAATACTGGAACAGCAAGTGTGTGTGAGATAAAGGACCCCAATGGAAATATGTCACTCTGACTTTTTTGGGTTATCCCGGGTTCTCTACACATATGCTGCTATGTATGATAATTCTATGTAACTATATTTGTGTATACCTGAATAAACTTATTTACTTACTAAGATAAGATTTCGTTCGGATTTTTAACCCCGGAGGGTTAGCCACCCAGGATAACCCAAGAAAGTCAGTGCGTCATCGAGGACTGTCTAACTTATTTCCATTGGGGTCCTTAATCTTGTCCCCCAGGAAGCGACTCACACCAGTCGACTAACACCCAGGTACCTATTTGCTGCTAGGTGAACAGGACAACAGGTGTAAGGAAACGTGTCGAAATGTTTCCACCCGCCGGGAATCGAACCCGGGCGCTCCGTGTGTGAAGCGGGAGCTTTAGCCACCAGGCTAAAGAACGTTGGAGGAGTCAGCGTTGGAGGGGGCAGAGTTGTAGTAACCATTGTTGGAGGAGGCGAACAGTGTTGGAGGGGAAAGAGGAGGGAGGAATGTTGGAGAGAACGAGGCAGCTTGCGTGTTGATATTCGGGTCAGATGACACGCTAAGAAGTGGTGGTAATGAGGGAGATTTTGCTTATGTCTCAACAGTGTCGATCACTGGGTGTTGGAGGTGTGGTCAGCGGGGCTAGTCACCACCACAGGTTGTTGGGGACGATGATGGTGGTGGAGGTGTAGTAGTGGTTAAGTTGTGGTAGTGGAAGTGATGATGATCCTCATCATTCTTCACCACCTCTACTCACCATCATTCTTCACCACCTCTACTCACCATCATTCTTCACCACCTATACTCACCATCATTCACCACCTATACTCACCATCATTCTTCACCACCTATACTCACCATCATTCCTCACCGCCTATACTCACCATCATTCCTCACCACCTATACTCACCATCATTCCTCACCGCCTATACTCACCATCATTCTTCACCACCTATACTCACCATCATTCCTCACCGCCTATACTCACCATCATTCTTCACCACCTTTACTCACCATCATTCTTCACCACCTCTACTCACCATCATTCTTCACCACCTCTACTCACCATCATTCTTCACCACCTTTACTCACCATCATTCTTCACCACCTCTACTCACCATCATTCTTCACCTTTACTCACCATCATTCTTCACCTCTACTCACCATCATTCTTCACCACCTCTACTCACCATCATTCTTCACCACCTCTACTCACCATCATTCTTCACCTTTACTCACCATCATTCTTCACCACCTCTACTCACCATCATTCTTCACCACCTCTACTCACCATCATTCTTCACCACCTCTACTCACCATCATTCTTCACCACCTTTACTCACCATCATTCTTCACCACCTCTACTCACCATCATTCTTCACCTTTACTCACCATCATTCTTCACCACCTTTACTCACCATCGTTCTTCACCACCTCTACTCACCATCATTCTTCACCACCTCTACTCACCATCATTCTTCACCTCTACTCACCATCGTTCTTCACCACCTCTACTCACCATCGTTCTTCACCATCATTCTTCACCTTTACTCACCATCGTTCTTCACCTCTACTCACCATCATTCTTCACCTCTACTCACCATCGTTCTTCACCACCTCAACTCACCATCGTTCTTCACCACCTCTACTCACCATCGTTCTTCACCACATTTACTCACCATCATTCTTCACCACCTTTACTCACCATCATTCTTCACCACATTTACTCACCATCATTCTTCACCACCTTTACTCACCATCATTCTTCACCACCTTTACTCACCATCATTCTTCACCACATTTACTCACCATCATTCTTCACCACATTTACTCACCATCGTTCTTCACCACCTTTACTCACCATCATTCTTCACCACATTTACTCACCATCGTTCTTCACCACCTTTACTCACCATCATTCTTCACCACATTTACTCACCGTACAATCACATATCTCACACCAGCACAAGATTGTCTACACACGCAGCACCTCGGTCTGACTCTTGGAGCTCTTTACTTATCAAAGAAGAGCAAAGGAAGAGCCTAGCTCTTGGTGAAGTGCCAGAGGTATCCAAGAGTGCAGACACAGCTTCTCTACACACAGAGGGCAGCAGAAGTTACTATAAGCACTAACAGCAGAGAATCTAGAAGCTACACTCGCAGATAACCCGCACATAGAAGAGAGAAACTTACCACCACGTTTTGGTTCGACTTGGAGTCACACTGTGACTTTGTAAATGGTCCAACTCGGACCGAAACGTCGTGGCAAGCTCCTCTCTCCTATGTGCGGGATATTTGTGTATTGTTCCAGTCACAGTATTGTGCCTTTTTGCTTATTATCTAGAAGCTACGTTTTTCATACGTTATTCATAAATTGCTAACTTAAGCAAGGTTATGTTAAAAGTTATTAATGGTGTATAATTATAAATATGCATTCCATATTGTCTTTTATATTTATGTTCCTTTGACACTTGTTGCAAAGTCAAGACAGGTCTGTTGAATGAGTAATGGTGAATGCTTGTTTCTTTCAGGGGAAAGAATATCACACTACCTTGGTGGGGTTAGTTAGGTTTAAAACCCAAGTGATCATTAACGCTGTACCTAACTTTTTTTCACGACCAGAATCCTTTATACATTAAAATAGGTGTTTAGCTCATAGTGTATATACACAGAGAAGTACACCTCTCAGTGTGTATGTCGTGTGTTGCTTAACAATTCGAAAACGGGCGAAATTATATACAAACATTATCTCTCGGTCCACAACGATATAATACACAGTACCTTATCCACACAGCCAGACTCCAGATTCGTGAGTGTGGCTAAAGTACTGTGTACTCTGTTGCCGAGTTTACAGGTTCGAATCCTACTGTGGACTGAGAGATAATATAAATATCGTATAATGTGGTGAAAAGTTAATCTTAATTCTTGATCAATATATATATGGTTGAACAGAGTATTATTACACAGTCATACACTTATTGCAGAAAATAAATAACTGTTAGTATTTAGTATTTAGTCAAAGGACCCCAATGGAAATAAGTCACTCTGTCTGACTTTTTTGGGTTATCCCAGGTTCTCCACACATATGCTGCTATGTATGATAATTCTATGTAACTGTATTTGTGTATACCTGAATAAACTTACTTACTTACTTATAATTTATGTTAAGCGCTAAATCCATGGGGATCATTCAGCGCATGACGTGGAGGCTTGATCCTCCGTCTGCTGAGCGCCAGACAGACGCGCTTCCTATTTGTACTCACCTTGTTAATAACTGTTATAAAGACATATATTGGTAGAAAAGTCTGGAGATATAATTTAGTAACTTAAAATAATCTAAGAAAGTCAGACTGGCTATATTAATGTTGTGTACCTTTCCAGTGGTGTTAAAGGTGGGGTGGCGCGATTATACGTGATTATAATGATGTATAATTCTTGGTGTGGCACAGATACTCATAAGTACAATTATCGTACATAGTGTAATTACGTAGCGCACTCAGCTCACTCACTGAGGTCCGTGGTTCGATTCCCGGTACGGGTGGGAACATTAGCACGTGTTTCCTTAAGACACCTGCTTTCCATGCTCACCTAAGAGTAAAATAGGTACCTGGGTGTTAGTGGACTGGTGTAGGTCGCATCCTGGGATAAAATTGACCTAATTTGCGGGAAATGCTCAGCATAATAAGGGACTTTCTATATAGTAGTATGCCATTGATGTCAGCTATGGTCTGTATACCTTGTACATGTACTTGTAGTTATAAAGATATTATTATTATTATTATTATTATTATTGTTATTATTATTATTATTATTGTCTGTGTATAATTGTTAATGTAGCGGGTGTCTGCCCGAAGTGTATAGTATAATTAAGGGCTTTAACGTGTGTAATATAAGAACGGTTTGGTTGACAGGTGGTAGCATGGTTGCTGGGTCGTGGAGAGGAGACGCTGGCCCGTCACCAGACTCTGGCTGACACCCTGACAGGCATCACCCGTCAACAGACGGAATTCCTCAAGTTCCACTCCGTTGCTATGGTAAGTGCGTAGCCGCCCTCCTGATGCTAATGTGTGTAGCATTCTCTCTCTCTCTCTCTCTCTCTCTCTCTCTCTCTCTCTCTCTCTCTCTCTCTCTCTCTCTCTCTCTCTCTCTCTCTCTCACACAGTGTTTTACAAGGTTAGGTTAAGGTTACTAACTTTATTTACAAGCTAAGAACTGCTACCTACATCAGCTCATCATTCTAACACAACAAGACCCAAGAAATTCCTTACAAAGTAAGTTTGGGACGATAATAAGAAAACAAAGGTGTTTTTTCGCTGCTGCACCAGTGCTAGTTCTCACATCATTTCCATACCAGTGTCACATATTTGCATAGCAACTTGTGACAGGTTAACACCCTCAGCAGCCGGCTAACATCGCTAAAACAGATGAACGATGTCCACATGTTTCCCCGGGTGATCGAACCCGGTATGCTTTTGCTGTGAGCCGGTCCACGGGAGCTAGTAGAGCTGACGAAGGATGAGCAGGTATGCCGAGGGATGGGGCGGAGGATGCTAGTATGTGTCTAGTATTTAGTTTGTCATTCGTGACCCCATGACTAGAATGGCCTTCCTTACATTATTCATTCATTTATTAGCGTCTGGGACTGTGGGATTTGCGTTATACAACTTCGTAAACACAGCGCTTGTTGTAGTGCATTAGGAAGGATTGTGTATAATATTAATATTATACAATACCGATAAATTGATGAATAAGACACATGTGCAACACCTAGGTGTCTTTAATTATGAATGTGACACACTGGGTATTTATAGTGACGAAACGTTTCGGCTGCACAAGATTCTCTTCAGTCTAATACATACGATAGTAATACTGCTGACAGTATTAGTAGTTTTGACGTGATCAGTCCAGACTTGTGTATTCTCTCGTGTGACTTGTGTGTGTGTGTGTGTGTGTGTGTGTGTGCGTGGGTCTCAGGGTGTGGGTTGTAGGGTGTGGGTCGTAGGTTGTGGGTCGTAGGTTGTGGGTCGTAGAGTGTGGGTCGTAGGGTATGGTAGGGATGACTGAACACTGACCCATTGTGGGAGATGACCTGGGCAGTGTCTGCTCTACTGGTAGACAGTCTGGGCGGTGTCTACTGTAACTGCAGACAGGCTGGGTGGTGTCTCCTGTAGCTGCAGACATTCTGGGAGGTGTCTGCTGTAACTGCAGACAGGCTGGGTGGTGTCTGCTGTAGCTGCAGACAGACTGGGTGGTATCTGCTGTAGCTGCAGACATTCTGGGCGGTGTTTGCTGTAGATGCAGACAGGCTGGGTGGTGTCTCCTGTAGCTGCAGACAGGCTGGGTGGTGTCTGGTGTAACAGCAGACAGGCTGGGTGGTATCTGCTATAGCTGCAGACATTCTGGGCGGCGTTTGCTGTAGATGCAGACAGGTTGGGTAGTGTCTGCTATAGCTGCAGGCAGGCTGGGTGGTGTCTGCTGTAGCTGCAGACATTCTGGGCGGTGTTTGCTGTAGATGCAAACAGGTTGGGTAGTGTCTGCTATAGCTGCAGACAGGCTGGGTGGTGTCTGCTGTAGCCGCAAACAGGGTAGGTGTTGCACTGCAGAAAGTGAAGGAAAGGCAGGTACAGAAGGTATTGTGACAACGTTTCACTCTAGAGCGAAACATCTAAAAGCTCTATGTAGAGTGAAACGTCACATTAATAAAGTCTGCTATGTCCTGTGTCTGTTCTAAAGGCTGGGGGCTAGGAACTAGGTGCTAGGGACAGAGGCTGGGGCAGCTGCAAATTCAGAATGACGCCAGGTGGAGCAAGTGTAGCAACTAGGTGACGAGAAGTGGTAATTAATGTCTGGTGTAGCAGGTAGGCAGCTGCTGTGCAGGTTCAGGCAACAGCACATAATGCTGTCTCAGCTCTCACCAGAAAGCTCTCAAAACTCTCAAACATAATCAAAACGTCTCTCAAAGATATTGATCTGAAAGTCACAATTACTTATCTTTCTGTCTCGCAAGCATGTAGAATGGCATGAAAATCTACGAATTTCTAATTATATTTAATCTACACTGCTGTTTTGCATGATTCGTAATACGTGTTGGTCAAGTAAGTCTAGAACCATAGGAATACAAGGTAACATTAGATTTTGCCACCGAAGTGGCTAGTTTATTGTGTACGTACTCACCATCCTGTGGATGGTAGTGGCTAGTTTATTGTGTACGTACTCACCATCCTGTGGATGGTAGTGGCTAGTTTATTGTGTACGTACTCACCATCCTGTGGATGGTAGTGGCTAGTTTATTGTGTACGTACTCACCATCCTGTGGATGGTAGTGGCTAGTTTATTGTGTACGTACTCACTATCCTGTGGATGGTAGTGGCTAGTTTATTGTGTACGTACTCACCATCCTGTGGATGGTAGTGGCTAGTTTATTGTGTACGTACTCACCATCCTGTGATGGTAGTGGCTAGTTTATTGTGTACGTACTCACCATCCTGTGGATGGTAGTGGCTAGTTTATTGTGTACGTACTCACCATCCTGTGGATGGTAGTGACTAGTTTATTGTGTACGTACTCACCATCCTGTGGATGGTAGTGGCTAGTTTATTGTGTACGTACTCACTATCCTGTGGATGGTAGTGGCTAGTTTATTGTGTACGTACTCACTATCCTGTGGATGGTAGTGGCTAGTTTATTGTGTACGTACTCACTATCCTGTGGATGGTAGTGGCTAGTTTATTGTGTACGTACTCACCATCCTGTGGATGGTAGTGTCTAGTTTATTGTGTACGTACTCACCATCCTGTGGATGGTAGTGGCTAGTTTATTGTGTACATCATATCCATCCTGTGGATGGTAGTGGCTAGTTTATTGTGTACATCATATCCATCCTGTGGATGGTAGTGGCTAGTTTATTGTGTACCTCATATCCATCCTGTGGATGGTAGTGGCTAGTTTATTGTGTATATCATATCCATCCTGTGGATGGTAGTGGCTAGTTTATTGTGTACCTCATATCCATCCTGTGGATGTAGTGGCTAGTTTATTGTGTACCTCATATCCATCCTGTGGATGGTAGTGGCTAGTTTATTGTGTACCTCATATCCATCCTGTGGATGGTAGTGGCTAGTTTATTGTGTACCTCATATCCATCCTGTGGATGGTAGTGGCTAGTTTATTGTGTACCTCATATCCATCCTGTGGATGGTAGTGGCTAGTTTATTGTGTACCTCATATCCATCCTGTGGATGGTAGTGGCTAGTTTATTGTGTACCTCATATCCATCCTGTGGATGGTAGTGGCTAGTTTATTGTGTACCTCATATCCATCCTGTGGATGGTAGTGGCTAGTTTATTGTGTACCTCATATCCATCCTGTGGATGGTAGTGGCTAGTTTATTGTGTACATCATATCCATCCTATGGATGGTAGTGCAAGAGCATATGGGTACACAATAGGCCTAGGAACTAGGCCTTCAAGAGGGTTTACAGGAGTACATCTGGATTTGTATCTACAGTTCACTTATCTGTTACAAACGAATTAAGGAAATTTGCTTAGTATATGTGGTATCTTATTTTCATTAATAAGATATCTTGACATATCACGTATGTTATTATACTGTCTCTTTATGGTAAGAACGGCAGTAATGAAGATTTTTTTTTCATAGAACGTATTACGTTAGGTCAGGTTCGTCAGGAAACAGGACAAGTGTTTCCTGACGCGAGTCTTAGTCATATGATGACCTACCACTGGAGCTTTTGGTCATCTGTCCGAGGCCTTCCGCTGGCTTACCGGTGCACCCCTTTAAAAATTATGGTTGTTATTGTAGCCACTTTTTAGAACATGTTAAATGTGTCCACCATTATGGATGATACAGGAATGTGTATGGTACAGTAGTTCTTATTTCTGTAATATTTGTGTTCAAGTTTCGGAGGCCTGGTCTGGGACCGTTGATTCCTGGAACCATTATGTGATAGATGGGTGCACACAGGAGTATGTTTTGAACAGTAATAAGGATGTAGGTTGGTAAGTTTATTTAGAGTATATTTTATTTAGGTACATGTACACGTAAGTACAGTTATCTTACAGTAGTGTGAATTACCTGGGATAACTCAAAAAAGTAAGACAGAGTGACTTAATACAGAGATAAACTGAACAAGTTTTTATTGTTATGACTTCGCAGTTTGAAGAGGTAAATGTCGTAGTAATGGAGTTCTGCAGGTGTGTTCTGTCCAGGCAGATGTGTGCTCAGAGCGTCTTTATCTGTGGGGTAACTGTATCTGTGTATACCTGAATAAACTTACTTGCCAGGAGTGTTGGTGATGGTAGTGGTGGGTGGTGCTGAGGCAGTGTTGGTGATGGTAGTGGTGGGTGGTGCTGAGGCAGTGTTGGTGATGGTAGTGGTGGGTGGTGCTGAGGCAGTGTTGGTGATGGTAGTGGTGGGTGGTGCTGAGGCAGTGTTGGTGATGGTAGTGGTGGGTGGTGCTGAGGCAGTGTTGGTGATGGTAGTGTGGTGGGTGGTGCTGAGGCAGTGTTGGTGATGGTAGTGGTGGGTGATGCTGAGGCAGTGTTGGTGATGGTAGTGGTGGGTGGTGCTGAGGCAGTGTTGGTGATGGTAGTGGTGGGTGGTGCTGAGGCAACGGCGGGTCAAGACAGTGAGGGAGCCGAGTGTGGCTTCCGCTCCCACACTCCTGGGACGATCACACAAGTCAGAGGTTTTGCTGAAGGTAGAGGAGGGTGTGGCCCGGGGACACTCTTCCTACATATCCTGTCAAAACAAGGTCCCAGGAATGTGCTTAGCTATATCACCGGTGTGCGGGGCAGCATTACAGGTGTGTTGGTGAATGCAGGTGTAAGAGAGTAACAGGTGGAGGGAGGACAGAGGACCCAAGAGGACTGAAACATTCCTCAGCGGAGGGAGGTGGGAGGAGTGTTCGACGGGGGGGGGGCACAAAAACACCTTGAGGTACTGTGTTGGGGGGAGGGAGACGCTACTGGCTGTCTTCAAGACAAGGGTGTGAACATCTTGGAACTGTGTACTCTGA